CATTAACCAAGCAATAGTGTGAAAGGTATTTATCCACTTTAATAACAAAGTTCTCATGAAAGATAAATGCATAGCTGTAATTAGTGAGCAAAACTCTTTAGAGCACTACTCTCACCCACAATAGTATAAATAGTTTGATAGTTTCTTCTGCCAATAATAGTTTAAAACTTCTCCACCACCCCCCCCCCCTCTCTTGACAAATATTCAATTTCTCAGACCCACGCTGTCTTCAAAATATTTCTATGTATTATGTATGAGAAAATACTTTAATGATATTTATTTGGAAAACATCGAAATGCAACTTCATCCAAAAACCTCATTAACTTGACCTTATGTTTGTGAAAAACATAATTTCATGTGCACCAGGACATAAAAAATAAGCAAATATTTACATTAAGGCAATTTGTATGCATCTGAGGTGAGTTAATTGCACTTGGCAAAGGTCAAGTGTAAAATCAGACAAATTAGGTTTTCTAAGAAAATGTAAATGATCACGTAGTAATCAAGCGAGAAGCTAATTCATGCAACTTTTGCATTTTCTGAGAAAAAAAAATCATTTCACATTCTCTTTCTGACAGAACACTCACACCAATCTTTTTTTTTTTTTAGTGTCTGTTTACAGGAACTAAAATTTAGAATACATCTATTTGATTACTTATACTTGGCATTTGTTGAACTTAGCTATGTAATTTTAAAGCAGCAAATGAGTAAATGCTTACTTTTAATGAATATCATTCAAAGACTTCACTTGCAACCCTAAGCAACTTGTGAACTAGGAGAACAATGCAATTTATTTAAATACTTATTACCTTGCCTGCAAAATCTCTTGCTGGGATATAAGCTCTTCCAGAGAGGATACCCACATTAACATTTCCCTTACAAATAGACTCGCCACAATCGTTCAAAACCAAAAAACCGAAAAAAAAAAATGCGCAACTCCTTAAAAAATTTCCTCGAGCTTGAAATTTAACCTGTGGTGAGACAAATTATTTAAACTACCTACGTGCTACTATCAAAAATACTACATCAGCTTACACAAACTGTAATTGGGTGGATCAATTTGGTTTAAACTAAGATTATTTTTGACAGAGCTACTAATGAATTTAAAGCGAAGCATTATGCACTTGTTACTCCAAAAAGTACACGACTCCTTCGTAAGTGAAAAACATTATCGCTGTGTTCGGAACTTGACGAATTAAGTGGGTTCCCAAACCTCCATAGAGACCTCTCCATCCTTCCTCTCTTATAACTGTTTTCAGCGTTTGAAGGAATGAATTGTATTTGTGTTTTCCGAGGAAATCACTTTCCTGTTGACGTAGCCGAGTTCGTGCAACTTCATGTGGATAGCAAAGACTTGCAGCAATGGATTTGGAAACGCCGGCTGATAGCATGCACTCGATCACATTTAGGTCTCTTTGTGTCTTATGTTGAAACTTGAGCAATCTCCCTTTCACTTTCTCGTAGATCGTAAAATGCACTACCGTCTCTGAGATTCCTACGTAGGAAGCTGAAAGTCCTCGGTAAAAAGCTCTAATTCCTTCGCTCTTGTAAGCATCTCTTACTATTTGGAAAGTACTAACTCTCTGTGCGTCCCTGTTGTCCAACTGTAGTCGCGTTTTGACGAACCACAAAGGATTTGTGACCGTGTGATTTACAAACGAAGCCATGGCCGCGGATGCCATATACACAAGCGAAGAATCGGCAGCTAGTGTACCAGATTTGTTTAGGATGTCCTTCGTTGTGGAATAGAGGGCAAAGTAAATCGCTCTTGATGGGGTGACACCGAGTAATGTGGGCCCTAATCCTTTGTACAAGGAAAAGAACCCTTCGTGTTGAACCATGTACCTTCCATAAGAAAATACTCCCTTGAAACGATTCGCCGCAACGTTGAGCTTCGAGTTAGCCACACTAGCTGTACTTAAATTTGCGGCTGGGCCACTGGACGAAATGTTGCGATTAACATGTAGGTTTGCTGTTCGTTGAAGACGAAACGCAGAAGACTGAAGTCTTGTCTGAATCACCTCGAGAGGACATGTTACGAAGGCACCGAACGAACCGCCTAAACCACCAGCGACGAAATGTACCATGGCAGAGTGCTGTTTCTTTGGTTGACTCATGATCGTGACCGAAATAAAATAACAAAAGAACAGAGCTGGAAGATAACGGCCGCGAGTGAACTGTCGAACTTACCGGCATAGCCGGCTGATAAAGAGCTATTAGAACATAAATATCGATGCCCAGTTCAGTGATTTAGCCCAATGACGTCAGGACAACACCCCCAACCACACCAAATAAGGGTTGCTTATGTAATCCTCTTCTTTGCAACTTCTGGGCTCATTCAAAAGCAGGAGGTTGAATTAATTCTTTAGCAATCAAAATAAACAAAAACAACTCACATTCCATCCAATTTTAGGTAAAATAATATTCAATGCACCGCAGAATCTTAGATAAGCTTTTACGTTTCTTAATTCTGACAATATTTGTTTTTCAGTACGATGTTGTCCCATTGAATTGTTATTGATCCAAGTTAAAAAAACCTTTTCGTTATGTAATACACGTATTGCCGACACTTGATCTCCAGTCACATGCTTTTATGTTATTATTTTATCATACGATCATCTGTTCGTGATACCACACAATTTTTGTTAAACTAAAATTTAACACAGATCTGTCGTGAGTTTTCAGTCGCAATCGACCACGCATGAGTTTTCATCACCAACTTTATTTCGTGATCTTTTCTTTTGAAAGGAAGGAAAACAAAAAACATTGCCTGAGGGTCAGTTATTCATAGAACTGTTTTCCTAGTAAAACCCTGTTTACGGCTTGTGACATACACGTGCACAACATGTGATGTTTGCAACAAACCAAAATAAAACATACTTGTTTTAAACTTGCTGTGGCCGATTGTGCTGAAAATCTGGGGGAAGTCAAATTACAATGTTTCCTCATCGACCGTAACTAACGAATGAAAAGATTTAAAAACGTAAAGCAAGGTTAAACTATTGGACTAGAATCATTCAAATAGATGTAAATTTTGCGCCTTAGTAAATTCAAAAGACGAATTCTTGCCGCAATGAACTAGAGATGACAGATTTACTGAAGAAACCGCGCAGTTTTAAACGGTTTCAGATTCTTTTTGGCCCTTGTAATAACTCCCTATGGACACATAGCTACCCGGTCCCTTCGCCGATACCTTTGGTCAACTCGCCGACACACTGGTCGCTTCGCCGACACTCTCGGTCACTTCACCGAAACACACTGAAAACATAAAAAAAAAAAACCCGCAAGATGGATTCGTTCATCTAGGAAAGTCTCTTGAAGAGGATCTGGGCTAGTCATTAGCCTGTAGATTTTGGATGTTTCTTTTTTTTTTTACTAGCTGTTGTTGTTTAAGCCGTTTTTAAAATCTTACCAAGAAACTTCTTGCACTCAAGTCAAATATTCCTGATTGTATCCATTTTATGACTAGATTTCCACATAAGAAGAGAAACATATAAGTCAGTGAAGGTATGGAATGAAATGATAAAGGATATCATTCTTGTTCCCTGAGCAAGTCAATTTCCAAAAGATAACTTCTCCACAGACTTCTAAGATTTACTTTTACGAAATTGTTTAGTCACTGTCCACAATCATTCGGATAAATCGGGGGCCCAGTTTATTTGGTTTGCCCCATCTTCCAATTTATTTTGGTCATTCAGTCACTGAAAACAAAGTTTTTCTAGATTGGTTTTCTAGAGAACTTCCATTTTGAAAACGTCAGCTCAGGTCACGTCGATAGCTATGCCACGTGGCCCCATTTATGTCGATGTCTCTTTTAGCCTTTGCCAAAACATAAACTTTCATTCATCTGCCAAAGGTTCCTGCTGTTCAGAAGGAGTTGCTCCAGTTCCAGTTCCATTTCCCTCTTCCACTGATTGGCTGTCCAAACCATCCCCACTGTCTCCACCCTCAGCTTGCTCATATACAGCTCTCCCCTCTCCACTGCTTGTGCTATCATCGTTCTGCTGATCTCCCAAGTCTGTTTGTGCGGCGTTATGATTTGGATCCTGCAAAAAGTCGTCCAATATAATATCTTCTGGGTTAGGAACAGGCTGCAGGAATTCTTCATCCGGGCAGATCTTTTCGAACACTTCCTTAGCCTGTGAAAAGAGAAAAGCGTTATAAATTTTTAAACGTCCTCAATAAAGTTTCAGTAACCTCTGCCTAAAAATTTTCATCTCTAAGTTCTCTCCCACACTTTTTTTTTTTTTCAAGTCAAAGTTTCTCTGTAGATTGTTCTCTGTACCTTTTTTCACCTGCCTCTTTGACAAAGCAGTAACAAGGTAGAAAGATATCTAATTAAAAGCAAATATTATCATAACTATCTGCTAGTTTATGATCAAAATTACTGTACCTGCTGCAATGCCTCTCCAAATCCTAAGCTCATTCCAGGCAGCAAGAGAACATGTACATTTCCTGGCAAGTCGCCCACACATGAGGAATCAGAAATCAACTGGTTGAAATACAAAGACCACAGAACAGTTGGCTTGTCACTGTCAACATTTCCTGCTTTGAGACAAATGGCAAAGAACAATAATTCAATAAAGTATGAGTTTCATCTGGTGTATCTTAAAGTATCACAAGTAATTGCCTTTGAATAAAAAGGAATCTTTCAATGGTTTTCAGGGGTTTCATTAAGGGCTGGGCACTGGGCAAATTGATCAGTTGTGAGGACAGTTTTGCCTACTTGGTTTGACAATCTGGAGGAAAGTTTTTCTTGTGGAGAAGTTCAGTTCAAAAAGTTTTGCCCGCCTGTGAAAACCAATTGTCCTCCTGCTGAAAACATTAATGAAACCCCTGGGTTTTGTATTGTAACCCAACAAGGAAAAGGATAGATTTAGCCATGAATCCTTTCACCCCACATCAGTTTGCATATTCTCTATACTGTTTCCTGTACATTTCCTAAGGTGTTCACTAGGAGAATTCGTCTAACAATCAAGAGCTTTTTTTGTTGGTGACTGTTTCCTTCACTCAAAGAATTAAGGATAGTTGAGGAAGGAAAATATTAATACCAATTGCAAATGAGAGAAAGATTGAGGCTAATTTTCATTTTTGGTCTGAATTTATGTCCCTGCTGAACAGAAATGATACAACTTGTTTCCTCTGACCTTCAGAAGGAAAATGAAACAGCTTGTTTGCTGTTGCTTCCAAATCGTCCTTAGCTGATGTCACACCTTTACTGACTAAATGGACCACATAAAGGCCATTAGGGCAGGCCATAGAAGCTGACCCTAACTGAATGACTCTCACTGGTTCTTCGCCTTCTGATGATGGTGGAACAGACAGAACTGATACGCACTCCTCCTCTGAAATCTTCAAGGAACTACATGTTATGAAAACTCCTCTGGAAACCAACTGGTGGCACTCTTTCTTGTAACTATCTGGGACATACGAATGCTCCATTATCAGCCATTTACACTTCAGCAGCTGATTGTCAGAAATTACTCCTGTACACTTGCCATTTTCCTTGTTGATTGTTATTTCTGATGCACTTCTTCTAAGGCAATATAAACCACCAAACACTGCACACATTCTGCAAAATGCCTGAGGCAACTCACCAGCACCATAGAGTGGCCAAATAAAAGGGGTATTTCCATAGCGCCCAAGTGATTGTAAAAAGTTTTGTGTAGCCTTAAGTCCAATGACTGTTGCAGTTTCAGGCTTGACCATGGCTATGGCATGAATTATGAAATGCTGCAAATTGGGTGTCAGTCTGCGCGACTGGAGAAATTCACCGAAAGGTTTGTTTTCATATGCTTCATACTGCTCCTGCTGCTGTTTAAAATCAAGGCAGAAAGTCAGAAATTTCATTAGCATTCGTTTCTCTACAACAGATATTGCACTGCTGCTGAATACATCAGCTCTTGAACATGGCACCTCTTCTACTTGTCCATTCATGTAAGTCAATATTCTGGTGACAGTTTTGAACTCTGCATAATGACTGATATTTGCAGAAATTAGTGCCTCCACTAGGGGTCCTCGGGAAAATAGAAGTTTAGGAGATACATCAATGTTGAATCTTCTCCAGTATGGCTTCAGATCATCATATGTCATGTCAGGACATATGGCAGGCTTCTTTTCCCTTCCTTGCCTAAGTGGTGACACAAATGAAACATCTTGGCCATCTCTGGAATCTGTAACTGCTGGTAGCTCCTCATCATGATTCTCATCCTTCAAGTCTTTATCAGAACTTTCTTCTTCACTGTGTGGAGTTCCATTACTCTCTCCTAACTGAGAAGAACAGGTAGTACTGTTTATGTCAGATGTATCCAGCCTTTCATTACTATCATTTGCTGGCCTGTCTCTGAAATCTTCAGCTTCATTGCTTGATTCTTCTACACCAGTAGTTACTTTTGAGGAGTTATTTTCACCAGATGGATCTGGTTTGACTTCTTTGGTCTCATCAGATTTCTGAGCTTCAGTGCTGCTTGCAGCTATTTCAAGTGTAGTATCCTCTTTTGATCCAGAGAGAACAAAATCTTGCTCTGTCTTTTTCTCACTGAAGAAATGAAACACAAAATTAATAGAGAGTCACAGTTAATATTCTAAAAAAAAGACTGTTTAAAGCCTCTGATTACCTGAATCTGATTAATTAAGTAATTCTTCCTTCTGGGTACCATTAGTTTTAAAAATGTATGATAAAGCAAAATAACACCTACTAGATAATAAGTTTGTCTCCTTCAGACTCAATACATGTTAGCTAAGTAATGTATCAAAAAAGCGAGAAGTTTAATTTTGATCAGTTTTAACCTCTAAAGGGTTAGGTATAAACAAGGCAATGAGAAAACATCATTATCAAATGTCGTAACCAATATGGTATTTGAGCTAAACTTGAACTGAATATTTTATTAAGGGAACAAGGAATGAAACAGCTATTAGATAAGTGATGTCCTTCTTTTTAAGTGATCCTTCCTCACATTCATGTGATTAAGATTAAGCTAAATACTGGCACTACGTTAAACCGTTATATTTTCTCCTTACTTCAAATTAATAAATTAATGAAATATCTCAATAAAGAGCAAACATGTTCCTCACACACCTAAAATAAGATCTAACCATTACATTGCTTATTGTGTCAGAATGGCTGGGAACTGGGACTGAGAAGGTACCAGACTCTAAGCTTGGTGGTTCATTGTCGTGGGTACCAGATTTATCTGATCCACTTCCATGGTTTTCACCCTACAATCAGACACATTCTTTTGCAAATTAATTTACATGCATCATCACTGTCATATCAAACACATTTCAAATCAATAGGGCATCCTGCATAAAGGAATATAAATTTAGAATATAGTTAATTACCTGGTTGAGTTCGATCCACTTTAACAAGTTGTCAAATGTGAATGTGGCCCACTGACCAGAATAATAATCATTTCTAAAAAAAAAAATAATTTTTTAGATCAATCAATATGCAAATACTACAATTTCTATTGTATGCAACCTCTATCCATGCCATCAGTATCATGGAAGATGTTATGGCACAATTCCTTGTTGGGTACACATGGGTGCCCCCCTCCCCCACAGATAAGACTGAGTATGAAGCGAAGTTGGTGGGGAACTTGGGGAAAACCCCGAGAGGAGGTTAATTAACCAATGAAAACATCGTATCTACAAGAAAAACAGTGGCTTCTTTTGGTTTATGCTAACGAAACCCAAAAAAGCTTTGATTCGAGTTAGTAGTAATGGACCTCCAGGCTACGCTTCAGGATCTAGCTCTAAACAATTTCTTGATCTATAATTATATATTATATATTAACTAACCAAATGCATGAATTCTTTCGCTAGTACTTCAAGTTGTTCTTCAGCTTAACCGTAGAAACCAAAACTACGTTTAACTAAATTATGGCTGCAGAACATCAACTGCGCACTTGTTTTGCTAGATCGAGAAAACATGTTTCTGTATCACTCACTGACCTGTCTAAATGAAGAACCTTAAGACCCACCCTTGACAGAGAAGCTGCTACCACAGACTCCGGGAAACCTTGTAAACGAGAATAAGAATGGTTACGAATTACACTTTCTTCTACACTATCAATACAATGTTAAACTCGAGGTCAAAGTTGATCAGCACACCCTTTCCCCGTCTCTATGAAAATTAATCGAAAATTCGGCACAGTGGTTTCATAACTGCAATGACACACAACAAAAACATTTCCAGACTTTTTTTCGCCACACCATGATTTAACAACTACAGAACCTACCCGTTCCAAGTACAATCACATCGAACTCCTCAGGGAGCTTATCCTCCGCCATTTTGAGTATTTTCAGTGACTCTCGTCAAAGGGTAGCTGATTGGCTACCTTTATTTTATCCAATCAAATTGAGGTTTAGATTTAGGATCCCGGGAAGGCCTGATTCCGTACCAGCTGATGAAAAGTGTATTCTTCATCTCTTCATGTAAGCTTTCAGCTGAGATGAATAGTTAGGAAGACTGCAAAGATCCTCTCAGCTGAAAAATGGTCAAGCTTGTTATATTTGATCTCGGGGGTGTTATAGTTACTAGTCCTATCTTTACATTTCAGAAATATGCGTGGGAAAAAGGGATTTCAAGGTAGCAATGAGGAATTTTGTTTACATTTTAGATTTCAAAATTGCATCTCTTGACAAACATTTTGAAGAAAAGAGACAATCTGGAGGATTAAACATTTAAGACTAAGATACAGTAGTGCAGTTTCGTAAATATGTCGATGCATACATCTTTGCAGCTTGGGGTTTTTCGGAGAACTAACTCGCAATTATAGTTAATAATAAGTTAAGGTATTATTAATCAAAGTTAAGGTTATATCCCAAATTTATCACTTTGTAGGTTATTTAAGAGGACAATGTCTCTTATTTCTTGATAGAACTGGGATGTCTTGCATTGCCTTGAAATTCCTGGGTTTCTTGAAGTTTATGTAATGTTCTTTGATGACCTTATCAATTTCAGTGAAGTGATCACTAAAAGCTTTAGTAACAATTCAAAAAGACTGGATACAGGTCAAGTTTCTCTTTCTCAGGTACTTGGAGTGGTCATTTCTATCTGTAGAACTCAGTGTCTAGACAATTTTTCTCAAAATTGTTTTTCCTAGTTTTTTATTCTAGTTACATGAGATTGAGTCGTCTTTTAATTACCTAAAGTAAGTATGTAAAACAAAATTTTGAAAGTTGATAAACTTTCCTTATAGTTTACGACATGGCCTGTTAAAGGTCCAGAGTCAGCATCTTCCAGTAAGAATAGATTGATGGCAAGCAAGTGCTCAGAATTTCTTCACGAAAAGTTTTGCAGCCATCTTGGATTTTTGACTAAGCAGAGGAGGGCCAGTGGGATAGAAACAAGAGTCTTCCAAAGGATGAATGATAGACAAGAAGAAATGAGGGGGATGGGGAAAGAAAAATACTTTTTGTCCTTGCACCTTCCCCTCTGTCTCTCCTTTTACACCTACAATAGTTTTTCTTTTTCAGATGTAAGATAAAGCATTTGCTGTTTTAAAATTTTTTTGATTTGCTTAAATTTGTTTTGATCTTTTTTTTTTTTTACAAAGTTCTGCTCTGAAATGGATGTAATCTATGCAGAGTATGCTTCAAAACAGGAAAATGATCCCTGCAAGACTATAAGGTTTCAAGACATCATGGATGATTACTTCTCATCAGCCAAAGTAATTCCAGAAATGCTTAATGCTGCAACAGCTCTGAGGAGGCATGGTTAGTAAAAATGATTTGTGGTGAGGTGGCAAGGGCCTACTTGATGAGGGGGGCATTAGGCCCTCTGGGAAACTGCAAAACCGGAGAAAAAAACCACCAAAACTGAAAAACCGACCAAGAAAGGTAGCAAAACCAAACACCGCATGCAAACCTGACAAAACCGCTACATTTTCACCTTTAAAGGGGTCAAAAAGGAAAAACCGAAAACTGCATCAGAGTTTTCATGAAAACCGAAAACCGAATGCAACAACACGCAAAATCCACAAACCGCTCTGAACATCAAAACCGAAAAACCGAACCTTTTTGGCCCAAAAACCAAAAAACTGATCCAAAAAACAATCAAAACCGCAAAACGAAAAATCCCAAAGCCCCCCTACTTGACATATTGGGAGAATTTTTCTTTGGATCTGGATAGTTATACCTGCATGCCACCTTTGACTCCTCAGAGGACAGTGATTTGTTACTTTACAAGTTCTTCTTTCAATTTAAACTGACACATCACTCTCAATTAGAAACTGACAGAGGTAATCAGGATTCATAAAATTATTAGCCAATGGATATCTTGACATGATGACTGTCCAAAAAAGAAATCTGTTGTCATTCATTGGGAGAATTTGGGTTTGAGGATCTCGGGAGAGATTATGGAATCCGATCTGTTCCCACACCCCAACAACATGGTGTCTGAATTCAATTAATATAGGAATTCATATTTTGATTGTATTCACTTTAACCTGAATTTATGATAATCATATTTTCAGGTATCAAGACCTGTATCCTGACAAATAACTGGACCAATGACATAGTGAAGAATTACAAATTATCGCCTTTTCCACACTTGCTCCATTACTTTGATGAGGTGTTTGAATCATGTAAGATTGGTTTCAGCAAACCTGACCCAGAAATTTACAGCCATGTCTGCTCAAAGATGGCGGTGCAGCCCTCAGAGGTTAATATATTCTTTTACTCATTTACTGTTAGAAATTTAAGGACTCTTTAAAAGAATAAGTTCTTTTTATAGTTGAAGATACCTATGGAATAGATCACTGTAGCAGACTTTCACACATACATGGGATTCCATCTCCGTCATACCATGCAGTCCAAAGTTGTTCACAGACAACTTAAAGCTGAACAATATGTTGCCTTGCTGCATAGCAGGATATAACTCATACTCAAACAAGTTTTGAGCCTTTTACTGGACTATTTTGATGATGGATGTAGAAAATTACCTTGTCCTGACTTCTTGCAAAGTGTTGATAATATAACCATAAACTGCTGACGGTTAAACTTTTAACCATAAAGAGTGACAGTCAAGCATCTAATTTCTCCTTACAATATCACCCCTGAAATCAAACAATAAGGTCAGGAGAATAAAGGAAATGATCACCAGCTAAAGAAGCTCTTGACTGTTAACTTAATTCTCCTGGTTAGCAAATTAGGAAATGAATAGAAAATGGTGTGAAGAATATGCATATTAGATACAATGTATATATGAAGTTCATATATTTTGAACTGCGGTATTAGAAACATATGATGCACAATCCTCCCAGTAGAGAGTGCTATTTATGCAAGAGCGAAAATCAGACCTGAAAAAAATCAGGCCTGTATGGGATTCGAACCACTGACCTCTGCAATGCTAGTGCAGCGCTCTACCAATTGAGCTAAAGTAGTTCATATAAAATAGCTCAATTGGTAGAGCGCTGCACTAGCATCGCAGAGGTCAGTGGTTCGAATGGTACAGGCCTGATTTTTTTCAGGTCTGATTTTCGCTATTGCATAAATAGCGCTCTCTACTGCGAGGATTGTGCATCATATGAATATGCATATTGATGTTTAAGAAGTGAAGAGGGTTAGATCATTTAAATTTGCTATTTCTGTCCTAGGTGATATTTCTGGATGATTCCCCTCAAAATCTCAAAACTGCAAAAGGAATGGGAATGTTAACTATTCTTGTTAAAAATCCTATCACAGCTCTCAGGGATCTTAAAAAGATAACAGGAATTGATGTAAGTTTGATATGTCTAGGAAGTCCAGATTTAGGTAGCTGAAAAAGCACAAGAACTGATATAGTCAATCTACCATGACTGCAGTCGGTACAGTTGGTGGACAGACTTATCAGTGATTTTGAGCTACTTTTTCCCAATGTTTTTTCAGTCAAGATGAATATACTGACCTTTAAATATTGTTGTCTCTATTCCCTGTAGGTTTTTCAGCAGCATGCGGTGGAACCCTGTGCTCCTCGTGATGCCATTCACTGCTACATCAATCTTAAGGTTGCACTACTCTTAACAATTACCCTCTAAATCAAAGAGTAAAACTTGATTTATTCAGAACCCAGATTACTAAATCACTGATTGGCCATGCAGCAATATTCTCAGTTAAATGATTTTGTTCTGATGCATAGGGTATCTTTTATGCAGATGTGTTATAAAACCTTTAGACAACTATAGGAAACCAGAAAATAAACAGTGTAATTATAAGCTAGCTTTAGAAAATCAAGTGACACTTCCTGAAAAACTTGGGCTACCTGAGCTAGACAAATGTGCTGATAGTTTATAGTAAGCTGGGGTACTTGTTTGGTAACTTTCTTTTTTATCTGTTTTAAAACCTGTATGATGTGATCCTCCAAGTATACCTTTGAATTCATATAGTTTGATGTTGGCATTTATCAATAGCCTAATTTCTAAGAGGATGAATTTTATATTAACGATCTGTCACTGTTTATAGTCCTTATCCGGACTACTCTGAACCAACTCTGGACAAGCATGATAGCCATAATCAGAGAGCCACTAACAAAGATTTTGTTATTTGTAGACAGGCATCAGGATGCACTATGTGGAAATGGGGCATGGACCTGTTGTAATTTTACTTCATGGTTTCCCTGAATTATGGTACATTTGGAAATACCAGGTATGCTTTAACAGAAATTGCAAAAGTGGCTTGTATTTATGTAACATTTATTAATTATTTTAATCTTTAATTAATTATTTGTTTTTGAAATCTAGCCTGTGTACAGCCACCCCATCCCCTCGAAAAAATCAGGAAGAGGTTAGGGTTAATGGGGCAGCTGTACACAGGCTATTGATATCTGTACAGTCCAATACTTTGATGATCATACTATTAATCAGAGCTAGAATATTCAATTTTCAATTCTTGTTGTGATTGTTTAGAAATGTTTTGCCCCTCCCCCTTGTCTATCTTGTCAACAGAAGAATCAGACCACCTAAAAAAGACTAAACCATGAGAGGGAAGTATGGTGTTTCAACAAGAACTTGACCAGAGTTGTGGCCTGTTCTAAGATGTTATTTTGTGTTATGTTAGATCACAGCTCTGGCACTTGCTGGATACAGAGTCATTGCACCAGATCTGCGAGGGATGGGACAAACATCAAGTCCTTATGGTAATTGATTGTTAACTATTAAATATTAATTGAATCACTATAATAATACAGTCATTTTAATGATATCAATCTTTGTAGATCTCATATTTAACTTATGCTAATTGTTGTAACTGAAGGCTAATTAGTTCTAATAATATTAGTTCCAGTTGAAGGCTTTTAATGATAAAGGCAGCAAATATTTTGAAATATTTTCGGGGCCTATTTTTCATTTTTTGGGAGGGTTGACTGAGGTTATACTTGAGATTACTACTTATTATTTCTTAAACATGCAAACATTGTCCACATTTTTTATTTGCATTTTTTTTTCCAGAGCTAGAGGCATATGGAAGGGAAAATGTGTGTGCTGTAAGTTAATGTGATCATTTTTTCTGTGTTATAAGTCATAGGACAAGTGAAAGCCTGAGACTGCCATAATTTGATTAATAAAACCCAACTGTGTACTTGCAAACCTTAGGATGAATTGTAACATATGTTATATGGTTGTTATTTTTCTACAGGATGTTGTTGCTCTGATGAATTCATTGGCAAGTATCACCATGTTTACAGCATACTCACTCTTAGACTGATAGTTTTTGAGCAGTTGATGTTTGTTCAGAATTTCCAAATTTAAAAAGCCTATGTTCAGTTTGAATGCACTGCAAAATGCTTAAAGTATTGCGCACAAGACTAACCTTTAATTGTAAACTTGACAACAGAGAAAAAAAGTGAACTGGCCCTAATAATGACAACAACAAAAAAAGGAAATAACCAAAGGAGAGGCACATGCATATACAACTTACGTAAATATCATGCTTTTGTGCCTCTCCATATTCACATGCATGTTGATGTCGTATCTCTATCCATTTTCATAAGTCCTTTTAAAATTTTACTGTTTTCTTCATGCCTTGTGACAAATGTCTAGTAAATATATTTTTCTGAAAATATTTTCTGAATTTAATTTAGTACATTCAACAAGCCACAGTCGTGGGTCGTGATCTTGGAGGTTTTATTGCCTGGGACCTTAGCCTTCATTATCCTGAAAGAATTCTGTAAGTGATGTTCCTGCAGATTTATCTGATTGTTTTTGTTTACAGACCAATCTAAACCACTATCAATTGGTTAAATTCTTGGTTTTTTCTTTCAGGGCTGTGATAAACATGACACCCTTCATTCCCTCTTTTCCAACCATTAACCCACTGGAGAGATTGCGAGCCAACCCAGGAATATATCAGTATCAACTTTATTTTCAAAAGGAGGTTAGTGCTACTTATTACAAGCTGAGTAATGTAACTCACTCCCAAGTTTTACTTTAGAAAAACTTCCATACATCATACCAAGGAAATTTGCTTTAATTTGAAAAATACTAACATGAGTTGCTCACTAAATACTTAATATTAGGGTGTTCCAGAGAAAGAACTTGAGAGTGACCTCGAAAAAACATTTGTTATGCTAATGAGAAGTGCTAGTGATCGTAAGGTGAGGAAGCACTCCCAATCTTTTAATGATACCAGCAGAAACTTAGCTGGGCTGGGATAGTGTGGTTCACTTGAATTGTCGGAGACAGTTTTCTAAAATGTCCAAATGGCCAAATAAAAACAGACTGAAGTAAGCCAGATACAGGGCGACTAAATTTCTTAATGATACTAATAGAGACTTAGCTGTGTCGGGATGGTGTGGCCGCCCTTGGGGCCGCTTGGATTGTCAGGGGGCTGTTTTCTAAAATGTCTAAATGGCCAAATAAAAAGAGAATGAAGCAAGCCAATACAGGGCGGCTTAATTTTTTTAATATGCTATGGTAGTCGTTATTTTCTCTGTTATTTACTGAGCTGGGTAGCTTAACTAGTATCATTAGCTGCTATTAGTGCACAACTTTTCTACATTATTTTTTTAGAAACTGAAATGGAGCACCTTTGATGTGCTTGAAAGAGGTATGTTTATTTACTGTGCTAATCTGTAGATAACACTAATTTACAACTTCCTGGCAAAAGGTCTGTTCTAAGCCAAGAGCATGATATTATCTCCTCAATTTTTTTAGGTGGACTTTTTTCTGGGTTGCCAGGAAAAGTGGAGAAAAGCTGGATTCTTACCAATGATGTCTTGAAGTATTTGGTGGAAATGTACAGCAAGACAGGATTTAGGTTAGAAACAACCAAGATGTGATTGCCATAAATATTCATCATTTGACAATAATATTATTAGTAGTCTAAGAGTATTATTTTCAGAAGTGCCATTCCTCCCATGCCTAATATATCCTTTGTGAAGTTGGTAGCTACATTCAGTGTTTGAGAATCAAACCAAAATGGCCACACTCAGACTTATTGCTGTAACATGTAATGCCTATAGGGGGCCACTGAATTGGTACAGAACAATGGAAAAAGACTGGAAATGGAATTGTAAGGTTTCTGGTCGTAAGGTAAATCTGAAATTTCCTTTTTACTTTGAATTCCTGTTGTGGCTCCTACTGATTTCAAGATCTTTTTTTTTACACATCTCAGTACTCCTCTTAGCTAGCATCTCGTATCTCTTTCTGTAACAAGTAATCATTCCATTTATTACACGACTCGGGCAGTCAGAGGGCCAATAACTAAAATTAACCGATCAAAATGCTCTTTTGCCGGTCAATATTCTCTCAGTATTGGACCGGGCACTGGCCCAAATGGTCCCGAATGATACCACACTAGTGACCCTTTGAACTTCAGTCGTATAATAAATCTCTTATTAACCAAGCTTGCTCGGGACCGTACTGGAAGAATATCGGCCCTCGGTCTTTTACTGTCAAGACCTCGGGCAGATATTCTCCCAGTATGGCCCTCGCGCTTGGTTAATAAGATATATGTACTTCCTCTCCTTTCTCATTAAAATGTAACATGACTTTTTTTGGGTGAGTCAGCACCGTTATTGGGAGAAGGTGACGTGGCCCTTTTCTTTTTAAAGGTTTCACTTCTATCTGTTTATAGGTACAGCAACCAAGTTTTTACTAGTGT